GCCCAGTTTCTGTAGGATTCTAAAACTAGAAATATTGAAAGCTCTTGACCATAATAACTAGAGTTTTGTCATTCCACAAAGTGGGGGAACACATTTCAGTGAAGAGTTGAACACTCACTGAAATTTGGAACCTCTCTTTTAGAGCTGGGTAATCTGGTACTGTAATCTAGATGACAGTCATTGTAGGAGAACAGGCAGAGCTAAGGGGCAGGATTAAGTGTGTCATCAGTTTAGTGTTGTTGCATTCCAACTAATGGTCCAAGTTCAACTCCTCCAGAATTCTATTGACCCTTATCAGGCACCAATTTAACATTGAACTTTAGCTGACTAGATTCTTTTACAAGCTTGACTAAATATTTTGCAGCCTAATGGATCGTCCTGAATCTTAATGCCTGATAGCCACCAGAATCCAAAAACATCTCTTATGTCATTGAGATTTAGAAAATGTGCCATCCAGAATATCTGGAAGATCTTTCCCATCTTTAAATCCAATACAGATTATCAATCTTTCCTCTTCAGAGCTCTCAATCGTTTTGGAGAGGAAAGAATTTTGCTGAGATTTTTTTTTGCAAGAAAATATTTATTTACACTTTCCCAGTACTGCTTTTGATTTTGATTTGAAACATCCCCACTTTCTCAAGAAAGCCATTTTCCTTTTCTGCTGCTTTTCTACATCAGATAGTTGGGCAAAACTAAAATAAAATACAGTGCTTTTGTGGATGCTAATAGATCAGCCAACCTGGAACTAAATTGCTCAGCCTAGTAATATTAAATGTCTGGCAATCCCAGAGACTCCACAAAATGACAGAATTTATATGGAGTTATCTGTTTATATTGTGGTAGTGAGTAAAATGATTACTTGAGGAAGGTGGAGGCTAAAGGTTTTGGGACCACACTGCATGCACATTTTAAAATTTTGATGAGAAAATGCAGAAGACAGCTCCCTCCCTTTCCCTTCACTGAAAGTAGGCTTTTTGCAGCTCTAAACAAAATCTTTTCTGGTTGCTTAGGGAAAAAGAATGTACTTAATGGCAACTATTGACTTAAACCATTGGGTTCTGACAATAGATATATGGCCCATGATTTGAATTATTGGACAGGAAGGAATGGAAAAAGTTCAGCCAATACCTTAATCAGTATGAGCAGCCACTAACCTTTCAAAGTCATAGCTAACCATTCACAACTAATAGGCATATGTAATAGATAAAAGTAACCTAAATGCTCTTAGTAGAGTAATTGTATTAAAAAAAAGTTATCCATATTATGTAAAATAATGTTAGAAATGCCAGATCTAGACTTCTAATGTTGTAAAGATTTATATAAAAGGAAAATTTTACAAGAGTTTACTACTACTGGTGAGATCTCACATTAAGACCTACCTAGTGGCGATAAAGGCGGCAAAATGTAATTATTTTTCCACCCTTATCGCATCTGCAGATAATCGCCCAGCCGCCCTGTTTAGGGTGACCCGCTCCCTTCTCCATCTGGGAGCGCGGGAGGATCCCTTGCAAGGTCGGGCTGAAGATTTTGTACAGTATCTGCACGATAAAATTGCTCAAATTCAGGAAGGCTTGGTCTCTGACTGGGTAGGCTTAGGCGGGATGATGGAGGCAGGTCTTGAGAATGCTATTTGGGAGGAGTTTGACCCTGTGGCTCCTGAGGACATGGACAGGATTCTGGGACGGCTGAATGCGACCACAAGTTTATTGGACCCGTGTCCCTCCTGGTTGGTGCTGGCCTCCCAGGAGGTTACGCAAGGCTGGCTCCAGGGAATTATTAACGCTTCTTTGAGTGAGGGTGTCTTGCCTTCTGCCTTGAAAGAGGCGGTGGTGAGGCCCCTCCTCAAGAAGCCCTCTCTGGATCCGGCTGTTTTGGCTAACTACCGTCCAGTCTCCAACCTTCGCTTTGTGGCAAAGGTTGTTGAGAGTGTGGTGGCGTGACAGCTTCTGCAGTATCTGGATGAAGCTGTCTATCTAGATCTGCTCCAGTCGGGCTTCAGGCCTGGGCACAGCATGGAAATGGCATTGGTCGCATTGGTAGATGATCTCTGGAGGGCTCGGGATGGGGTTGTTCCTCTATCCTAGTCCTGTTAGACCTCTCAGCGGCTTTTGATACCATCGACCATGGTATCATGCTGTGTTGTATGGTCGTTCTCCTCCTATCTCTCTGACCGGTCGCAGTCAGTGTTGGCAGGGGGGCAGAGGTCGACCCCGAGGCACCTTGTTTGTGGGGTGCCGCAGGGGTCGGTCCTCTCACCCCTCCTGTTCAACATTTATGTGAAGCCGCTGGGTGAGATCATCTGTGGTTTTGGGGTGGAGCTCCATCAGTATGCTGCTGATATTCAGCTGTACATCTCCACCCCAGGCCATCCCAATGATGCCCTTGAAGTGATGTCCCGGTGCCTAGAGGCCGTGCGGGTGTGGATGGGGAGAAATAGGCTCAGGCTCAACCCTTCCAAGACCGAGTGGCTGTGGCTCCCGGTGTCCCGGTATAGTCAGCTGGTGCCATCGCCGGCTATTGGGGGTGAGTTATTGGCCCCCACGGAGAAGGTTTGCAACTTGGGTGTCCTCCTGGATGCACAGCTGTCTTTAGAAGAGCATATGATGGCCATGGCCAGGGGGCTTTTTATCAGGTCCGCCTGATTCGCCAGTTGCGTCCCTTTCTGGATCGGGACTCCTTACACACGGTCACTCAGGCACTCGTCACCTCCTGCCTGGACTACTGAAATGCTCTCTACATGGGGCTCCCCTTGAGGAGCACCCGGAGGTTCCAACTGGTACAGAATGCGGCTGTGAGGGGGATTATGGGAGCAATGGGGCGCTCCCATGTGACACCCCTCCTGCGCGAGCTGCACTGGCTCCCAGTGGTCTTCCGGGTGCGCTTCAAGGTGTTGGTTACCACCTTTAAAGCGCTCCATGGCTTAGGGGCTGGGTACTTACAGGACCGCCTTCTGCCATTGATAGCCTTCCACTGGCCAATATGCTCCCACAGAGAGGGACTTCTCAGGGTGCTGTCGGCCAGACAATGTCGGCTGGCAACCCCCAGGGGGAGAGCCTTCTCTGCGGCAGCACCTGTCCTCTGAAACGACCTGCTCCCGGAGATACGTAGGATCCCAGATCTCTGTGCTTTTCGCCATACCCTTAAAACTTTTTTATTTCATCAAGCCGGGTTGGCTTAACCCCCGCCCCCTTTAGATATTTTTAATTGTTAATTGATTTTAGTTGGGGTGTTTTAAATTTATTGGGCCAAAATTTGTTTAATTCTTTTTTTAAAAAATTTTTAAATTTTGTATGTGATGTTTTTATTCTTGGCTGTTCACCGCCCTGAGTCCAGTGGGAGAAGGGCGGTATAAAAATCTAATAAAAATAAATAAAATAAATAAATAAATACTAATGTACTGGATGCAAATCTGAGTCTAGTTCTGTCAGCCTTTGGACCAAGGGCGAATTTGCAAATGTCCTGGGGTTTAGTGGTAGTGATAGTGATACCAGCACTCCAAGAAGAACTGGGAGTAACCATTTTGACTTCCAGAAATACTTACTGTTTAATGGCTGCTTTACAATGCCCAATGCTGTTATTACCTTCTTCAGAGAGAGCTGATACTTGGTGGGAATCTCCATCTTAAATAACCAACAATGAAGACTTGCAGAAGTGAAGAGGATGTTACATTTCATCTTAGCACAAAGGCTAAGAGAGTATATCAAAATATGTAGGCCATTGAATCAGTGCTATAATTCAAATTAAAGCATATCCAGTTAATGTTTATCCAGCCTCTGCTCAACCATCTCTAGGGAAGGAGATTTGAACCTTGGAAGGTAATCCAGACTAGAGAACATGCTCTGTCTTTATAAGGTTATGCTAAAAGAATCTTGTAAGTCTGAAAGTCCCCCTCCTGTCCCTCACTCTTCTGTCCCATAAACTAGGGAGGGTCCCATTGGAGATGCTTTCATCATCCTTCTTAAGCTTTGCTTATCAGACTGTTGTCTAGTCTGTGGCTCTTCTTCCTGTCTTCCAAGGAAACCCAGTACTTCCTCATAGCCATTTCTGGTCACTTGAATTTGTCATTAACAAATTTCCCCCCCTAAGATTTAATTGGATTTTGCTTTCATGTTACTTTAAAACTTTGTTTACTACTTGCTCTTGATTTAAAATTCAATCATGGAATGAAACATGTTCACTTAGCATTATCTATAGCTGTCATTACAACAAATTACTTATGCTCCAAAGGTTTAGAGGAAGAGTATGGCCTTCACTTTTTACTGAAGGATAATAAGAAGGGAGTCATCCAAATCTTGGGGGAAGGGAAAGTGGTACATAAGAGCAGGGCAACTAAAAAAAAAAACCTGTTTTCATAATGCTTCTCTATATTTCTTCTTGCTTAGAATGAACAGAGCATGCAAATTTTGTCTAGACATTCCTGCAAATATCCAAGAACTAAATCATATAAGGTAAAGGTAGAGGTTCCTCTTGCACATATGTGCTAGTCGTTCCTGACTCTAGGGGGTGGTGCTCATCTCCATTTCAAAGCCAAAGAGCCAGAGCTGTCTGAAGACATCTCCATGGTCATGTGGCTGGCATGACTCAATGCCAAAGGCGCATGGAACACTGTTACCTTCCCACCAAAGGTGGTCTCTATTTTTCTATTTGCATTTTTTACATGCTTTTGAACTGCTAGGTTGGCAGTTCAAAAGCTGGGACAAGTAACAGGAGCTCACCCTGTTATGCAGCACTAGAGATTCGAACCGCTGAACTGCTGACCTTTTGATCGACCACCTCAGAGTCTTAGCCACTGAGCTACTGTGTCCCTAAATCATCTAGGGCTTCATAGATAATAACCAGCAATTTAAAATGTGTTCAGAAACTTTTTGGCAGATAATTAAGCTCATAGGTATAGGCATTATTCTGCTACAGTGACCTTGATGTATCAGTAAGCAGCTTTTACTCCCAGACTGCTTTGCACCAAATCCCAAGAAGTTTTTGTGTGTCATTGCACTTTATAGGGTGTGTTTCAAATTCCTGGGTGACAATCTGTTGCATGGAAGAATGTGGTGACTGAAATCCTCTAGAACCACCAGTCTCAAGAACACAAGGGCCATCCACAATATTAAACTGACAAGTAAGTTTAGGTAGGTATCTCACCAGGCAGTAGGATAGGAAATATACCAGTAGCACCCACATCTACATCCAGCCACATGTGAAATATGGAATCTTAGTCTCTTGAAAATTCATTGCTCTTCACTTCCCTGGCTGCAATAATAGCATATTTGTCTGAAAATTGTCAGGCTATATATTTTCATAAGAGATCACATTTTGGGATTATCTGAAATTCATTTTAACCATTGTCTATGCAGGTCTCTCTATTTCTAAACTGATTGGGCATCTGAAGAAAATCCACTGGCAAAGAATACTTATATCTTTCTCGCATCTTTCTCATTCTTCTATAGTAAATCCTGTCCTACTAAATCATGTCTACTTGCTGGTTTAGCTATTTTGTAGACTAGCAGCCAGGTGTAAAGCCATTTTTATTTCACTGGTTTTTATTGCAAGGTAAATTTATGGAAGTTAGTAATAATACCCGATTAAGAATAAAGAGCCAAAGACATACGTTCTGTGAACCAGCCGTATTATGGAATGCAATATAAGGCTGCATGAAATAAGAAAGATTGGACAGAGGTCTTCTGTCCAACTGGATCATATCAAAGTTGTGTACTTTGCTTCATAGGGTATAATAATGTAGAAAAGTTTATTTCACTTGCTACGTCTTATTATTAAGTTAGGAAAGATAAAGGATTTCCCAGGAATTGGATTTAAAGTAGAACTGTCAGCCTAAAGAGGCAAACTAGACCAAGAAATAGACCCCAAGAGAAGCCTAAACACTATTTTTATTTATATTGAGTTTAGTACTAAAGACTTGCAAATCTTATTGTGTTTCCCCTCTTCCTTCTTTTATATTCATGAGATAGGGGGTGTCCACCTGAGACTTTCCACATTGTCTGGATTTGAAGTACCATAATGCTTCCCTCTTTTTAGCTTTGGTAATGGATCTTATGTGGTGATAATCAATGCCCTCAGATTAACAGATATCGAAAATTATAGGGGAATTTTGAGCCAGTTTCACATATTAGATTATCATTTCCTCAGCCATGTCTATATCCGGCATTCATTGGGGATAGAAAAAAAAGAATTTATAGAAAGGCAAATTAGTTTGAACACCTGCATATGTTTGAAGAGACCTAGATATGAACGCCAAATGCATATTGTCTCTATACATTCTATATATTGAAGGCTCAGGTGCCAGTGCCCATCTGGTATTTGGGCAAAGAAAGATTTCATATTCAAAAAAGATGGCAAGAGCCAATATTGTCAGTTTTATAAACTTTCCACATGAATGAATTGTATTGGATAAAGCAGAAAGTTTGATATGAGGAATTTTAGTACTGGTTTATTAATCAATTGGTTACCCGAATACCATTAAACCAGGTCTTTAGAAATAATTGAGAAATCTTCAAAGAAAATTCCAGTGATCCTTTTGATCCTATCTGTCCATTTATCTCCCTGGTACCCCTTTCTTGTTTTTCTCAACTTTATTCAATATAATCAGTTTTTGTTTAGTCTGTTATCTAGTTGGACCTCTGCCCTACCGCCTAATAGGCCAGTAGGCTCTTTTATGCTTCATGACAATAAAACCCACTTATTTTAGGTTTGGCCAGCAAACAGGCCAAAACTTATTGAAATGATATAAATTGCAGGCAGGAACTCTGCAGACAGGAACTCTGAAAAGATTACGGATGGTCCCCTTTCTCGTGCTAGTTAGACCACAACAGCTTCCCTGTTAAGATTAGGCTGAAGTTTCTAGACTACCCTTATTTCTCTTGGCTTAATTTTTTTTTCCGCCCACCCACCAGAACATCATTACATCCTATTTTTGACCCTCTGCACATGCACAGAAGAGGACCATGCGTTCACATTTCTGAACCGGTAGCGAAGGTAACTGCATTTCACTGCTGGTGTGATTTAATTTGACACCTGGAGTTGCCTGTCCAAAACATCCCAAGAGAGATGACTTGGCAGTAATCAACTTATTCTTCCTGTGAAGAACTATACATCTGTTCATTACAGAAATAAGGCTGTGATAAATAATTTAAGTCTAGGACAGCAGGTACAGGTCAGCACAAGATTATCAGACAGTAGGCAGAAGAAATACAGAGTCCAAAGGCAATTTTTATGGTAAATTGCAAGAAATGTCTTCAAATTATGGTTTTAGAGACAGTTAAGAGGGCTATGAAAATATTTATAGACCCCTCACATCCTAGACATAAACTGTTTCAACTCCTACCCTCAAAAGTGAGCACTGCGCACCAGAACAACAAGACACAAGAACAGTTTTTCCCCGAACGCCCTCACTCTGCTAAACAAATAATTCCCTTACACTGTCAAACTAGTTATTAAGTCTGCATTACTATTAATCTTCTCATTGTTCCTATCACCCATCTCTTCCTTATGACTGTATGACTGTAACCTTGTTACTTATATCCTTACAATTTATATTGACTGTTTCCCGATGACTATCATTAAGTGTTGTACCTTATGATTTTTGATGAATGTATCTTTTCTTTTATGTACACTGAGAGTGTATGCACCAAGACAAATTCCTTGTGTGTCCAATCACACTTGGCCAATAAAGAATTCTATCTATCTATCTTACTAAGTCAATCAAGGATTGCAATAAGACCAATCAGTCAGCATAGGACCAAATGCAAACTGACTGCTCCTATAAAAAGTGATCAGCAAACAGAAACTCACATACTTTACTTATGGTTGTTTGATGATAGTGTTGATGCATAATATTGGTGAGGAGTAGTGATATGAACCATTTCTTCTCTGATATCTTATATAAACTTCATATTATCCCATCTAATACCTAGTACATCACCCAATATTGTATTACTTGCATACCAGGGGAAAATGTACTTTCAGAGTTGCAAGATTCTTTTAATGTAACTTTATGATAAATAAAATTAGCTGGTCTAGCTGTTCTTCCTGCTTGGTTTACCTCACAAGTCTGACATCAATATTGCAAGTCAAGAACATTTCTTCCCCCATCCCTTTAGACCTCAATAAACTAGGGATGGTCCCTTCTGAGCTGCTTGCTCTATCACATTCTTACTCTGGGCTAAGTAGCTTTTTATCTGGCCATTCCCTTGCCTATTGCTTCCAAGGTCATTCTCACATTTCATTACAAATAGTGATTTCTTGGTTGCCTGCAAATTCTAACAGAGATAACCCTGCCATTTATTTTGTTATAGAAAAATACATTCTTCACCATGTTCTTCTTCAGTGATCATTATTACTCCAATCTTTTGCATGGAATTATGTCCTGAAGTATAGAATGCAATCATCTGAGGTAAAGTAGCATACTCTGATCAATGTGAGCTTACTTCTTTATGATAATTCCAATTTGCTATATTTCACGATTGGTTTAACAGTTCCAAATGTTCTTAACATTTCATGTCCTCTTGTGCATCTCCTTGAAAGTGAGGCACTCTTCTTTCAATATAGGCATTATCAATGCCAATTGATATTGGCATGATCAAATTCTTTAAGGTTTTTTTTTCCTGGCCATGTTATCTGCAGGATCTACTCATGGAATGTTGAGAGTCTTCTCCAGTAATTAGAGATGTGCCTTTAAATTTGAGAGTTTCATTATCTGGTACCCAAAGTTGCTTTTACAGGTACATCTTGTTTACTAGGGTACAATATAGAAATGATTTACCACTGTCTTCTGAGTTTGATTTTGGAATTCCTCCTCCTAAGTGGGATGGAGTCCCTCATGTCTGCACTACTCATTTGTTATCATTCCTGGCATTCCCTCCTCTTTCTACTTTACTAAAAGGGGACACAGGTGATATTTTTACCAGTATTACTCTTGAGTCAAGAGCTATTGAATCTTCTCAGTGCATCAAGGTGCCAATAACTCAGCGCGCACGCACGCACACACACAAAAGGTAGGATTGGGATTGTAACTTGCAGTGGGTATCAGTGTGATGAGGATGTATGAGAACATTCTCCTATACTTGAGGACAAAAGTAAAGCCAAAATAATTGAAGATCACAGTCTTCCCCTGCAAACATTGTCTCCTAATGGATCAGAATGCCTGAAACCTATTTTTTTCTCTAAAACCCCTCTAAACTAATAACATCAAAAGCTTCAACACCCTCTCACAGTAATTTTCTGACATAGAGAGTTTTTCCTTAGGACCTGTCAAAAATCTAAAGACAAGCCCAAGATAAAATAAAATATACATTTAACCACCTGTGTTTTTTTTTTTTTTAATTTGATTTATATGCCGCCCTTCTCCGGAGACTCAGGGCGGCTTACAATGCGTTAAGCAATAGCCTTCATTCTTTTGTATGTTTTATACAAAGTCACCTTATTGCCCCCACAAACTGGGTCCTCATTTCACCTACCTTAGAAAGGATGGAAGGCTGAGTCAACCTTGAGCCTTGGAGAGATTCAAACCAGCAGAAATTGCAGGCAGCTGTGTTAATTACAGGGTGCACTAAACCCCTGTACTATCAAGGCTCTTTGAAAACAAATACAGTTTTCTAGTGAACACATTCACTAATAAAGATCTTAGTTTCAGGGGAATATAGTGTCTTGGCAATTTCTATCAACATCAATTAAAATATAACATGAAAGAGCTGATGCTACCATTTTCTGTACTATCTCAACCAATAAGTACTTGAAATATTGCAAAAGAAACTAATTGCAGTTCATTTGGATTCCCTCCACATAAAAATCCAGTACCTTGAATGATAATTGGCTTCAACAAAATAGCACCTTTAGAAGGAGATTTGTGCCCTGAGCTCAATTGTCTGCACCCAGGACCTATTTAACATGAGTAGCCAAAATATAGTCCCTTAGATGGATTTTCATCCTCAGCACTTCAAAACATTAAGCACTTTGCAGTCTCAAATTGTTTTGGAAATCTCATCCTATTATACTTATTGTTTAAGAACCTGGATAATAATAATAATAATAATAATAATAATAATAATAATAATAATAATAATAATAATAATAATAATAAAATATAAAAAAATAAAAATGCAAAATGAAGAAAAATGAATTTAAATATGACATGGATTGATTACAAGAAGGCATTTGACTCATTACCCCACAGCTGGATTAACACCTGTCTGGAAAACTTTGGAATCAGCAAAAATATTTGTACATTTTTGAAAGCAAATATGCAAAAATGGAAAACAGTTCCAACAACAAATGGGGAAAACATTGGTGAAGTCAACATTAGATGAGGAATCTTCCAGGGGGACTCACTTTCACCACTACTGTTCAACATCACATTAATTCCATTGACAATAATCCTACAAAACACAAAACTGGGATACCAAATCTCAAGCCAACATGGCAAGATGTTACTATACATGGATGACTTAAAAATGTATGCAAAAAGGCCCACTGAACTTAAATCAATACTCAACACAGTTCAACTGTTCAGCAGTAACATCAAAATGAACTTTGGACTTGAAAAATGTGCTATATTATCCATGAAGCAAGGAAAGATGGAAAAAATAGAAGGAATAGAACTGGGAAATGGAAACATAGTAAAAGCATTAGCAAAGGATGATGGTTACAAATACCTAGGCATATTGGAAACAGATAACATCTTGAATGGAAAAGTCAAAGAGTCAACGCAAAAGGAATACATCAGGAGGGTCCGCAAAATATTAAAATCAAAGCTGAATGCTGGAATAAGCAATAAGCTGACTTTGTATAAATATACAAAAGTATGAAGGCTATTGCTTAACGCATTGTAAGCCACCCTGAGTCTCCGGAGAAGGGCAGCATATAAATCAAAACAACAACAACAACAACAAAAACCCATTAATAAGTGGGCAGTTCCAGTGATACCCTACTCAGCTGGAATTATCAACTGGACTTTGGCTGAACTGGAAAATTTGAACCGGAAAACACACAAACTTTTGAATATGTACCACGCTTTACATTCACGAAGTGACATCGACAGGTTGTACCTGCCAAGAAAAATAGGGGGCAGAGGATTATTGCAAATCCATCAAACTGTAGAAGAAGAAAAATGAAGTTTGAATGATTATGTGAACCAAAGTACAGAAAAATTGCTGCAGGCTGTGAAAACGGAGAACATTATAAAAACAACAGAAACAAAGGAAAAACAGCTGGATAACAGATTAAATAAATGGAAAACCAAAGCTTTGCATGGACAGCACCTGAAAAACATTGAAGGAAAATGTGATGAAAACTTTACATGGGCATGGTTTAAGATGGGAACCATCAAGAAAGAAATGGAAGGTTTAATACTCACTGCTCAAGAACAAGCACTACAAACTAATGCCATGAAAGCAAAGATACAAAAATCCACCGACAATCCAAACAGTCGACTTTGCAACAACAAAGTTGAAACTGTTTCACATTTAATATGTGAATGCAGCAAAATCGCACAAACTGATTACAAAGCTAGACATGACCAAGTTGCTAAATTAGTCCACTGGTCATTATGTAAAAAATATGACTTTCCTGTATCCAAAAAGTCATGGGAATATAAAGTGGAAAAAGTTATAGAAAATGAGAAGGTGAAGATCTTGTGGGACTTTCGAATACAGACGGATTGTCACTTGGAACACTGCCAGATATCACAGTTGTCGAAAACTGAAATGTACAATTTATTAACATCACGGTACCAGGAGATGCCAGAGTCGAAGAAAAAGAACTTGAAAAAAATCATGAAATATTGCAACCTGGCCATCAAAACTACATGGCTATGGATGAAACTTGTAACAATGATACCATTGTCATCAGGGCACTTGGTACCATGTCCAAGAATTTTATAACATACATCAGCAAATTGCAGCTTCCTGCAATAACACCAGCGGAACTGCAAAAAACTGTGCTATTTGGAACATCATACATCTTAAGAAGATACTTGATTGATACCTAGGATGCTGGCAGCAACCTGTATCAACCATTAGCACCAGTCAATGGTATTTGTGATGCATTTTTGAAATGTTCAGTTGACTGAGTTTCATGTTTAATGAATAAAGTAAATAATAATAATAATAATAATAATAATAATAATAATAATAATAATAAATAATGATGATGATGATGATGATGATGATGATGATGATGATGATGTACTTGGTTGATACCTAGGATGCTGGCAGCAACCCGTATCAACCATTAGCACCAGTAATGGTATTTGTGATGCATTTTTGAATGTTGAGTTGACTGAGTTTCAAGTTTAATGAATAAAGTAAATAATAATAATAATAAACATAATCTCCATAGAGAATTTAGAAGCAGCTATTTCCTACCCCAGCTAGCTTTTGAAAAAAAAAAACCTTGCAAATTCAATTCTGGAACTTCATCAATTTCATGATCCAAAAATCCTTTAAAATATTGTAAATATCTAGCCTAGTCAAATATTTGTTAGATATTGTAAGGACTGGTGATTTTGAATGGCAATCTTTTAAAGCATAAAATTACCAATAATAATACAATATTGTCACTCAGTTATTTTTTTTTCAGAAGAATTTGCAAGATTATCTAGGGCTTTCCATGTTTAAAAAAATATAGCCAGATATATTTTGGAAGGAATATTTCAAATAATTTAAAAATAAAGTTTTCTCTAACCATCAGTTTGTTTGCTCTTTTTACATAAAATTTTTCTCTCACACACACACATAAACACACACACAAATATGTACAGTAGGCTTCTACTCTTCCATCTTTTCAAGAATCTGTGACTTTGGCATTTGCATGGACGTTCTGGGGAACTCAAGCCATGTCAATCTTACTATAAACTTGTTCCTTTTTACTTCAGCAGTATGATACTGAGGCATATTGTCAAACTCTTTCTTCCTCACACCCCATCCTTTAAATTAATATGTAGATATTAATTTACTTTAAAATCTTACTTTATTATATATAATGGCTGCTGCCATCAGTACACAGGATGGTTAGAGTTCTTTTTTTAATTTCTCAGAAATAACCCAGCAATAAATATATGGGCCTCGGAATTCTATAACTACCTATTTCAGAGAAAGATCGGTGGAGATTGCTGTAAGGAAAACTGGATTGAACTGAAACAACCTAATCACTTGTCTTGTTTGTTTTTTTCCATTTCATTCCTCAATACTGATTTACATTCAATCCATTTTTAAGGTAGAGAAGGTAGGATAGCAGCAAGGTTAATGGATTACAATCCAAGTGGCAATTTCCACTGTTCAATATTTTCCCATTTCTGTCGGATCAGTTAATAGCTGCAAAAAGCAACATTTATTATAGTAAGTTCTTCAAGAGATACAAACCCAATTCCTGCTCTGTTATATATGCCTGTAATAAGAG